GCTTTTGACTTCCTGTATTATAGACTTCATCTCCAACAGTTCCATTTGAGTCTTTTGTAAAGTGTGTAATTCCTCTTTTAGATCTTGCAAGAATTTCCACATCTCCTGGAACTTGTCAACTTCTTTCTCCTTTCTCCTTAGCAGTTCATTATCTCTCTTCTCTTCCATCTCTGTTAGCTTTGACATTATGAATGCTCTAAATTCTTTATCAGACATTTCCATGATTTGCATTGAACTGCTTGTGGATGAAGAGGAGTTACTCTTTTCCCTTGGAGAAGAGGTATTTTCTTGTTTTCCCATATTTCTTGTTATCTGGCAGTGATTTCTTGTCATCTGATGGATGGTGTGTTTTTTTCAAATTCTTGAAGTTCAGTCTGAATGTTCAGGAGCAAGCAGACAGAGGTGATCTAGAATCTCTTTGCCGTTCTGTTGTGATCACGCTAGCTCATTTGCTGGAGGCTGAATTATCGGTAGAAAATCTTCATTCCCTGCAATACCTAGTTTGCTGGAGCCATGTGGAACCTTCTTCTGAGGGCCTGGCCTCTTCTGCCACTAGCTCGTTTGCTGGAGGCTGAATTATCGGTAGAAAATCTTCATTCCCTGCAATACCTAATTCGCTGGAGCCATGTGGAACCTTCTTCTGAAGGCCTCATAAACTCCTTTCTCCAGCCTCTGCCTGGACTTAGCCTCCAGCAGCTGGACCTAGTTTGGCAATAACATTACCACTCTTATGCTGAATCCTGTTGTCCTTGTAGTGCTATGACTGTTCAGCTCTGTCAACCGTCACCACACAGCCGTCGACTCCACCAACTTCCATCTTAACGCACCTTTCTTCTTATTATTTTTTTAAACCAATCTGGCCCACAAATTTGAGCCTCAAGTTTTTGGCAAGAAACTCAATATTGCCATATAAACCGTTACAGAATTCACTTAGTCCTTGAGGAGGAGAAGAACATGGGGAAGCCAACTCTACTCCTAGATGGGACTTCCTTACACTCAGATGAATGAAAAAGTGTCCCTGCATCTCCAAGAGACAATGAGGATGAGAGAAAGAGTACTAGGCCACATTCTAGTACTGGGCAGGGAAGTGTGAGAATGCCAGATTTGGCAGAAATTCTGAAGTCTTTCACCTGTCATTCAATAGCCAGGTATTTGTGAACAAGTTACTCATTTCTTCATTCATATAATGAATCTACAACACCCTCCTCAAAGGGTTTGAGGAGGTTTATATGATATGTATAAAATGAAATTATAATCTTTAATTGAAATGCATTCAAAAGAGATTATTCCTTGTAATAAGTTCTTTTTTCTTTACTTCCTTTCATGAGAAAGAGAGACAGAGAGATAGAGAGGCCTTCAATATGGTCTTGGCAAGACATGATGCTCCCTAGCCTTCCAGCCAGGCAAGATCTCAGATAGGCTTGGCATGTTCAGGTCAACCAGGGCAGAACACCAGGGCCATCCCATGTGGCTCCCGTATCACACAGGGGTGCCTACTGCCTGCACAACCATGGCTGGGCCCTTCGCTGTAATTTCAATGTAACATGAAGACATAATGCAAAGCACAATTCAGTAAAGGCAAAAAGAGTTCAAGGTGAAGGTATAAAAGCCACTGGCTCTCTGGAATGTTCTATATACAAAATCTTGACCTATGAGGGATACATGTCCTGCAAATTAGCCCCCACACATTTTGTAGATTTACCCAGTACCTCAGTATCTTAATCACAGTTCCCTCTGCCATTGGCTCTGATAAACTCTTTTTTTTTTTTTGGAGAGGTTTCCACTATAGGGTGCGTGCGCTCGCCAGACAGAGAGAGACAGAGAGATAGAAAGTGAGAAATCACCTCCCAGGGGGGATGGTCATGCAATCCCTTCTCCATTCTCCTCTCGGGATCTTGGGCAAGCACGCACACGCGCCCGGCGTGAGTTTTAAGCCACCGGGTCTGGGACTTGAATCACGATCGACTACGTGGGAGTCCAGCAACATAGCCATTGCGCCAACTGCTGGTCCCATAAACTCTTCTTGAAAGAGCCCAAATAATGGGCTATATTTTTCATATGATGATTTTGTACTATATTCTTTTCACATAACTTCCAAGGGATAAGACTATCACTGTATCCCGAAAAGCAGGTCAAAACCAAGTGACATGTATATTTAATAATATTTTCAAATATCCTGGAGCTCTTCAGACATCATTGCTATGTTCATGGAGAATTAGTTTTGCAAAAACCTCTCCATGGTGCTTCTAACACTTGTCTTCCTCCACACTCCTGTCACCGTCACCGAAATTCCCCGAGATGCTCTCACCTGCCCAAGTTCTTCATTAAGATTTGATGTCCTGGCCATTGCGGGAGTGTCATTTCCTAGATAATACATATCTGTGTCCTGGGAAAGAGAGAGAGAGAACTTTTGGGAAAACAGTTCACAACATGAACTATTTTGTTAACTAAAATAAATTAGTAACATTAATCCTTCGCTAAGATTAAACAGATAATAAATTAAGAATAAGTAATTTAAACTGTTTCATTTTAATATAAATGTTAATTTTTTTATTTGGGGGGTAATAAATAGAGCCTATTTAGGATGGAGAAATCCTGTGATATAAGGGAGAAAATATGGCGTTTATACACAGAAGATTTGGTTTAACAATGATCTTTTGTGACCTAGACTCATGATTTTGAGTTTATTGTCTACTTCCTTCACAGAACTGCTGTAAAGATCAAATAAAAATACAGACTGCTGAAATCCAGTGCTTACAAGCCATGGCAATCTCTTAAAAATTTGACCTCCTGAGGCCAGCAGGTGGCATGATGTTAAGGCACTGGACCACCATATGGCCGACTATAGTTCAAGTCCAGGACCTGGTGGCTTGCTTTATCACTTTCCCCCTCTATTTCTCTCTCTGATCAAATTAAAATAATAAAAATAACAAATAAAATGAAATAATTAATATTTTTGGAGAGGTTTTTGCTATAGAATGCGTGTGCTCACCAGAAAGACAGAGAGAGACAGAGAGACAGAAAGCGAGAAATCACCCCCCACGGGGATGGCCACACCGCAAGCCCTTCTCCTCCATTCTCCTTTTGGGATCTTGGGCACGCATGCACATGTGCCCAGCGTGAGTTTAAGCCACCGGGTCCAGGACTCAAACTATGGTCAACTACATGGGAGTCCAGTGACATAACCATTATGCCAACTGCGGGTCCCAATATAAAATAATTATTTTTAAAAAATTCTACCTCCAAGACCAGCCCCATTACCTAGTGGTTGGGGACCCAGATCTCACATGGCTGACTAAGATTCAAGTTCTGGCCTTAGTGGCTTAAAAAACTTGCCAGGTATGTGTGTGGGGGCCCCAAATCCTGACAGGGTGGAGAAATGGAAAAGAAGGGATCGTGGCATGATCACACTCCATTTTTCTCTGTCTCTCTCTGATGAGCACATTTGCTTTCCGGCCATTAAAATAAATAAATAAATAAAATAAAAACAAAAACTACTACCTTAGCCCTTACAATCGAATTGAAGCTTATTGTCACGGTCACTTTTGAAATATAATGAACAGTATGGACACACAACTAAGAGGTCTTTCTTTAGCACCAATTACACTTCCAAAGCATCAACAGCAGTTACAGCCAGATGACAAGCACCTCCTAAGCATTCCACCCCTATTATCTCCCTGGACCACAACTCCTTGAAAAGGTATTATTGTTCACTCCATTTCTCAAGGACATCCTCATTGGCTATCCTTGCCTGTTTTCTCTTTGGCTAGTTTAAGCCGTAGACCTCAGGACATAATTGTAACTGAATTGTATTCCTCCTTTTCTTGGAGCTCAATTAAACGGCAAAGGCTCTAAGAGAGTATTAGAAAACAGCAGCTGGCATTTTTCCGGCAGCACCACTTGTAAATTCTGCTTTAATACTCACCCAGTTTATAAAAAGGGCTTGAGTGTATTTCACAACCTCTAGGGTCACCAACAGACTGATGGGAATAAGATTGTTGTACAAGATGATGAATGTCAACAGGTTGTATCCGAAATTATCCGAGTTTGTATCTGTGGAAGAAAACCAGAACAGCTGTATAGTTTTCGTTACAGTCCCTTGGCTTTATCAATTGGAATTTTTCTAAAAGATGCTTATAGTAAATCTATTAAAATGAAAAGCTCCTAGTTAAAATAGTTACTGGAGGTTTGCTCTCTCTCTCATGGAAGAAATAAAGAAAAAGTAAACTTAAAAAAAAAAAAGTTAAAAGAAAAAAGCTCCAAACAAAGAACAAGTATTTTTTTAGAAGTTACTGAGCACCACCTACTATGTGTCAAAAATTGAATGCACAGACTATTCAGACTCAGCCCTGGCACACCACGAGCTGGCTCCTCCTATGAGGTTTTGGGAGAGGAAAGAGAAGAAAGCACGCCCTCAGTGTGACTAGGCAGCAGGGTATGTTATGGAAGACTTCATAGGACATTTCAGGACCCAATCAGGATGCAGGTTTTCAATGGGAAGGCAGTTACTGAAGGCTATCCCAAAGTATAGATGCTTGAGTAAAGCTTTGAAGAACAAAGAGAAGACAATTAAGTTAAAAGAATGAAGGGGGGACCAGCAGATGGCATAGTGGTTACATTGCTGGACTCCTACATAGTCGACTGTGGTTTGAGTCCTGAACCCAGTGGCTTAAAATTCATGCCAGGCACATGTGCATGTGTGCCCACAATCCCAAGAGGAGAATGGAGGGGAAGGGACTGCAATGTGGCCATCCCCCTTGAGGGGTGATTTCTCGCTTTCTGTCTCTGTATCTCTCTGTCTCTCAGGCGAGTGCATACACACTGTAGCAAAAACCTCTCCAAAAAGAGAAAAAAAGAATTCAGTAAAGACAACAGGCATTTGTAATGATTGTAAAGAACAGCTACAACCTCAACCTCTCTAAGGCATGATACCTTTAGGACACACCAAAGAGCTGGTAAGATGGAAAACAAGTGTGAACAAGAGAAGCAGGCAAAGAGAAGGAGGCAGGAAGGCTTGGGTGTATTTATTAAAGATAAGAGAAGGAATGTCTCTATGGAACAAGGTCTCTAAGGGTGGAACAGGAGCCTGAGGGATGGAATCCAAAGCAGTGGAAAGATCAACTAACTAGGACAAGAATAGGGATCAGGAGAGGGAAGAGAGGTACAAGGTCTAGGGGTATCAAAAGGGGAAGTTCTTTCTTTGATGGCCATGATACCTTGCTGGAAGGATAAATAGTGAAATCTTCATCACTTAGTGAGACAGTTAAGGGAGAGGATTATATCAGGTTGAGGATTTCACTTGGATTGAAGATGCCTCTAAAGGGAAATGATATTAGAATATCAGAAGGCTAGGATCAGAGATTAAGAATCTGTAATGGCTACATAGTTATCAAGCTTTTTCCCAGGAAATTGTCAAATGGTGGTAGTTTGATTCATATTTAGAGTTTTTACATAAAGATAAGGTGAGCAGGCATAGGAGCCAGCAGGAAATATGGTGGTTAAAGGTGTTGGACTCCCACATGGCCGACTGAGGTTCAAGTCTCGGACCTGGCAGCTTGCTTTCTCACGTTCTCTCTGTCTCTCTGTCTCTCTCTTTGTCTCTTTCTGGTCAAATTGGAAAATAATAATAATTATAAATAAAGGTAAATAAAATAGTTTAAAAAAAGAAATTTAAAAAGAAAAAAGAGTAGGCACAAGCTAGTCAGTAGTTGTACCTTTCTACCATCCTTTTTTTAAATTTAATTTTATTATTTTTATTTACATTTGATTGTCATACATCTTTATGACATACAATATGGTTTTTCCGAGCATGTATGCAATGTGAGATCATCCAATCAAGGATATTATATACATCATTTTCAATAAAGAAACTTACATTTTAGTATCTGTTCAGTGTTTTTGTTATGAGTCCCACCAACCCCCTTTCCAGCTCCCTCCCATACATCTACACTTGTGTTCTCTACTTTTATGTTGTAAATTTTTTCAATTTCTGCCATAGAGTACAAATATATGGTATGTACTGAGCTGGGACATAGAGTGTTTCTCTTTTTTTCTTGGTTTGAAATAGAAGACTTTTACTTACTTTTTAATTTTTAACTTTATATTTTTGTTCTCTACATTTGTTGTACATCTTTTTGGCATACAATATGTTTATTCAAGTATGCATGCAGTGTGAGATAATCAAATCAAGGATATTACTATATGCATCATTTTAACAAAGAATCTTACATTCTTCTTTCTGTTAAATGTTATTTTCCTGAGCCCTACCAAACACCTCTCCAACCCTCTCGCACACAGTCTCTGCTATCTACACCTGTCCTCTCTACTTTTATGTCTTCTAATCTTTCCATTTCTGTCCTAGAGTGCAGACATTCTGAATATATTGAGCAGGAACATATAGTGTTTGTCTTTCATAGTTTGGCGTATTTCACTTAGCATATATCTTCCACATTTGCCTGCTGCATGATGAAAGACATAGTCTTTATGGCTGAGTAGTATTATTGTGCATATGTGTCACATTTTTTTAAAATATACTCATCATTTGTTGGGTACTTAAGTTGATTCCATGTCTTAGCCTTTGTGAATAATGTTGTAATAAACATAAATGTGCAAATGTCTTTCCAACTGAGTAATTTCTTTTCTTTTGGGTAAATACCAAGTAGTGGGATCACTGGGTGATGTGGTAGTTCTACTTGTAAATTGTTGAGGAATCTCCATATTGTTTTCCACACTGGCTGTACTAATTTACATTCCCACCAACAGCACAGAAGGGTTTGCTTTTCACCACAGCTTCATGGACACTTGTTATTTTTTTATCACAGTCATTCTGTCTGAGGTTAAATAACACCTCTTTGTGGTTGTCAGTTGCTATTTCTCTTGTGATAAAAGATGTTGAGGGACCAGCAGTTAGCATAATGGCTATGTCGCTGGACTTCCATGTAGTCAACTGAGGTTCAAATCCCAGACCCGGCGGCTTAAACTCACACCGGGTGCGTGTGCATGTGTGCCCAAGATCCCGAGAGGAGAATGGAGGAGAAGGGATTGTGCTGTGGCCATCCCCCCGGGGGGTGATTTCTCACTTTCTATCTCCCTGTCTCTCTCTGTCTTTCTGGCGAGCGCATGTGCCCTATAGCAAAAACCTCTCCAAAAGAAAAAAAAGTATGTTGAGCACTTTTTCATGTATTTCTAACCATTCATATGTCTTTCTTTGACAGTTATCTGTTCAATTCATTTGCCCATTTGTTAAATGGGTTACTAGTTTTTCTGCAGGTGAGCCACTTGAGTTCCTTATATATTCTGTCTATCAGTCCTTTATCTGAAGTATAGTTTGCAATTTTTTCTCTATCTCTTTGCTCTATTTATTGTTTCCTTTGCTTTGCAGAAGCTTTTTTAGCTTGATGTAATCTCACTTGTCTATTTTTAGAATTGTTGTCTACACTTTTAAGAGTCTTATTTAATAAATCTTTGCCAACTTCAATGTTTTCAAGTGTTTCTCCTGTGTTTACCACACGCAATTTTATAAGTTGAGGCTTTATGTTTAGATCTTTATCTGTTTTCCATTTACTTTTGATAATTGTGAGAGACAGGGGTCTAGTGGTATTTTTCTGTGCATAGATTTCCAGTTTCAGAAAACACCATTTTCTGAAAAGAGTTTCTTTTCTCCACAGACTGTTTTGCACCCTTTGTCAGAAATCAGTTGGCTCTAAAAAAACGGTGAAACTGTTCGTATCATTTTGGAAAAAAAAAATGCATATTTGACGACTGCAGTGAGCTGTGTGGGCACAGTTGGGTACTACTTTATAGTATGTTCATTCTACTCACTGGGGTTTATGCCTAAAGTCAGACTTGGGTTCATGTATAGGTATGTGTCAGCTGTGCTAGCTA